CCCTTCTCGTATCAGCCAGGCTGTGCCCTCCTGGGAGCCTCCTGTTCACAGCCACAGCCCCCAGGAGAGGAGGGCTTGCTCCATCCCAGCCACCTCCCTCCCCACAGCCAGAATGAACCACACCGGGTCAGGTTCTCCTGTCCCCAGCCTCTCCCCTGTACCTAGAGAGCACTGCAATGCATTTTGCAGGGTTTGTCCATCTGCTCTGCCCTTCCCTGCAGCTCTGCGACATTGCACGCTCAACTTCCCGGCACAGAAAATGGGAATTAATGCGGAGAAGTCCATGGCTGGCCCTGCCTGGCCGGCCCCTGCCCTCCAGTGTTAATCTGCTGCTGCTCTGCCAGCCTGCCCGCTGCAACACAGACATGGAGATGGACACTGGAACCCCTGGTGAAGCCTGCTCTTGCTTCCTGTGTACCCCAATAATGACTTTATTTTAACACATTTTTTGAACTCCAGTAATTTCTAGAGATGCTTAATTGGGGAGCTCATTCTTCTGGCCTCCTCTAAAGACAATTCTGTGATGGATTCATGCTTCAGCACAAGCCAGAGTGCACACAGAAAATGTTCAGCCGTTCAGAGGTACAAAAAGCAGTAATCTTAGCCTGAAACAATGGTACTGAACTGAAGCACTACTCCTCTTTTCTAGATCTACTTTTAAGATCCCTGTCAAAACAGCCCTTCAAACACATTTGATTGGGTTGGGGCTCATCACGCTGTCACCAACTCACTTTTCATTAGGCTGTTGCTCTCTGTTAGCCTAGCCAAGCAGAAGAACTCAAACACATGCACAAATTAAATCGACATCCAAACTCCACCAATATACAAAGCAATTTAAATGATATTCATTAGAGCGATGACAAGTCCTGATGAGGCTTTCAGGAGCGGAGTCCTTCAGCTTCTGCCGACTCGGTTTCATGGTCATTGAGGCGTAACTGCAGTGACTGTACCTCCAGTTTAGAGAGGAAAAAAAAGCCAAGAATATGACTCCGCTTCCTGACACACCTACCTCATTCTCCCTCTCTGCACAGGTTTACAGCTGAGCACAGGCTCCAGGCTTTTTTTACAGCTCTTCCCGGGCTGTGAACTGCACACACGCTCTAGCAAACCCCCTGCCCTTCCCCACCACCTACAAACGTGCCAATTAAAAAGAATTCCATTTTCAAGTAATTTCATTTCACTTGGCTAGAAAGGTCACTAACTCACAACTCTGATGGCTATAAACATGTCCCCAGTTTCTTACCATGCAAGAATGAATTTGATATGTTGAAGCTTAATAGAGAAGTATTTTTCATTGTAAATTCATACTGAAGTTTAAAAGTTACTCTCTCTTCATTTATATTTTTGATATTAAAAAAAAAAAAAAAAAGATGGACACTATCTTCTCCACAGGGAGTGGAATGGGGCTGACAGGTCTAATATAGGCTTTTCCACAGTGCCAAATCATTTGAAATTCATTTCCCTTGCGATCACAGTCCTTACCTCAGGCATCACGAGGTAAGTCATCAGAAAATTAGCTCACTATTTGGTTACAAAGTCCACTATGCTGCTTGCAAAATTTAAGTGTACGGGGGAAGAAGTGCACGTCCTCACCCTAATGTGACTCCAGGAAAGGCCAGTGGGTGACGTGGGGGGCACAGCATCATTTTAGGACATCACTATCAGCCAGGAGCTCCACCACCCACCCTGGCCCCTGGCTGGCTTTGCCATTTTTAACTCCTGCTTGCTCTAAGACAACCTTTTTTTTTTATTGCTCGAAACAGCCTAAGAATTTTAAGAGCATGATATACAGAAAACGTCTTGTTATATTATTACTCAAAAATTCCTTTTTTCGGCATAGCTGCCTTGGGTTGTAATTTTTAATTTTCCTTTTTAAGCACTCCCACAGTGAAAGATAGGCACAGAGCTATGGAAGTATGATTTGCAATTGGGTATTTTCATTTCAATAAAGCTTATATATATGAACTTGATGAGTGGTCTGGACATACCCATCTATCCCAAAAAGTCTATCTGATTTTAATTCTCTTAAAAGATTATTTAACCAGAAGTGCATTTCAAGCTATAAATAAGGCAAAGTGAACCAAGCAACAGCTGCTGAGAAAGTTAATGTGTCCCACGTAGATGTTGTTATACAGTGATGAAAAACAAACAAACAAACCACTACCCTCACATGTAAGCTGGATATGAAGCATAAAGGAAGATTGTTTTTACATGTAAAAAAAAATGAATTTATGGAACACCACTGCCGTATTTGTGTACGTACCAGATAATGAACACAGCACAAGCTACATGTTAGTAAATCTTAGTCATTTTTTCATGCTGAACATTTAGTTAAAATTATTGCCCCAAACCAAGGCCTGAAAACAGATTGTAACCTCACCAATTATCCCAATGCTTTCAGACATGTATAATGATGCGCTAATACATAATTCCACTCGCCTCTGTAAACGACCCTGGTTCCTTCTTCCTTCACTGGTAAAAGATTGACTTCTTATGCAAATACTCTTCAATGAGGGCTGTAATATTATAGTCTTAAACATATACAAGGCTTTCATTATTACAGGATAATTACTGAAAACTCAACAAAATTCACTGTTACCACACCCCGACCAACAGAGCCACTTTCATGTTCCGAGATGGCAGTTCCATAATTATTTCTCCATCTCTCATTTACCTACAGCAGGTCAAGCAAGGGCTGGAAGGCACATCTTGGCACAGAGTCCCAGGAGAAGAGAATTTACTGTATTTTTTTTTTTCCTAGAGATTGTATGTATTTACTAGTGATACCCAAGGGAGTTACACATTTGTATTTCCATGCTAAAACAGTAACTATCCAATCAAGTATTAAGTGCTATTTCATCCTTGGCTAACAGGACAATCCAGTGCCTTTTATAAAGTTGGTCATCTTGAATATTTTTTTCTATTTTCCTTGATAAAGTCTAGTTTTACAACCATTCCCTGTATTTCAGCTCTGTGGAGCAGTGTGGGTAACAGACCACCTAGCAAAGCTCCAGCATACTCTTGTAACAAAAAGTTACCCAAACAAAGCAGGCAGCAGTGATCATAATAATTTTATATTTTTCTAGGAAATATATAAGGCTCTCTGGAGGCGTACTTTAAGATACAAAATTTATTAATTAAATTTAGCTTTATTACCAGTCGTCTCTGTTCCACTTGCACCACTGTTCCTTTTTTTTTTCTGTTGCAGCTGAAATAAGAACTTGCAAAACTAAAAAAGGTTCTTCCGTTCAATACATGCCAGTATTTTTTTAAATCTCAAAGTATAGCCAGATTTTTTTCGCTGTCATAACATGCAGAGTCATATCATATTTAGCTTTATATAGCAAAATACACAGCCATATTTAAATGCAACAGATAATTCCCATATTGATAACACTAATCTGCCTTGGTTTGGATAAAAAAATTGCACATAGTGGTTACCACAAAAGCACCCACATAATTAAAATAATATCCTTTCAATTTTAATACAAAAATAAAATATAATGAAGATTCTAGAAAGATTTTGGTTTCAGAAAAAGTTCCTTACTCTAGCCTGAAAGTCACATTTCAGTTAATTTTAGATTTCCAACTCACTAAAACTTAAAGATACATTCCCTGATTTTTTTTTTTTTTTCTTTTGCTAAATGTTGACTCCAGTGAACAGCTCTCTAAGATCTGGCATATTGATTTCTTGTTGTGAAGTGAGCTGTTCAAGCTCCATTTAAGATTTTCATCTTGCATGTAGCCCTGAGCACATCATAGCACCATAAATTAGTTAAATTGCACATTTATCACAAATGTTATTTTAAGATACTGCGTAAATGTGATGGCTGGAAGATATACAGTATGCTGCAACAAGCCACTACTTGGGTGGGGTTAGACCAGGGTCACCTTTATACACCTGTGATTTAGAGCTCTTCTCACCCATCACAATTTCATTTTTAACCTCTTTCTTGAGGCATTTTGTTTTCTCTTGCACTTGATCTGCATATTTCTAAATAAAATATCAAATGCAAAGCAAAAGTCAGAAGTCAGATGCTTTTTTTCAAACCCTATATTTATACTTTCGTGTTTGTCTAATAGGAAAAAAATTATCTCAACACAGCTAGGTTGGTGATTTGGTTAGCACTAATAGTTACCATGCCAATATACATACCAGTGTATGGATGAAAAGAACATTATTCTAGTTCATTGATTCTCTAAATTCTTTATAATGTGAAATCGCATTTGTATGCCAGTCCTGGAGGTTCTGAAATGCAAGCTGAACTTTATTTTAATAAATTTGGGATATTCAGATCCTGACTAGCCATTCATTTGCAAAGTTTCAAGCACATTGTAAGAAGCAAATTTAAAAAGTCCTTTCTGCTGGCAGATCTGGACACTCCCTGAATTTGTACCTGGTGCATCTCACTGCCCTTTCAGACTCAGGTAAGTCAGGCCCAAGAACTGATTTTTACCAGGTCAGGGAGGCTACATCAGCTCATCAAATCCCCTGCCTGTATTTTAAGAGTAAATGGAAAGAACCCTGCAGACTCTGCAGTCTCTTGCTTTTACTCCCTCCCATGTCCCAGATAACAGTATTGCATAGAGCTTTGAGCACTACTATTATAAGTCAATGGTGCATCTTAAAAATACATTGATTGACAATATATGCAATAATCTGCCAGTCTCCTTATGTGTGAATTTCTGGTTTGCAACCAAATACTATATTTAAGCTGTTATAATTTTCAAAAGAGGAATTCTCTGCTGTAGAGGTAAAAAGTTTGGCTGGGTTTAGACTGAGATCATGTATTTGTAAAAATGTGGACAGGCACCTGGGAGGCTCCAGGGAAGACTTCAGCCAGCCAGGTTCCTTTCCTCACTAAGTGAGAGACTCCTGGGATGGTACAGTCAACCAGTAAAACTGCTGTGATTTTATTGCTGGAATTTGAGCTGAGGCCATAAACATTGACACACAAATGACCTTATAATCAGACACAAGCTTGAGCCAAAAGAGGAGGAAAAAACCCAAAGCCCTGATCCCATTCACTTTGTCCACCTAGCAGCATTTGCCATAGAATGAGCAAAACACTCCAACACATTTTTCAGACATGGTACTGTCTTTAACGTTACAGAGAAAGATGGAAAAATGGAAAGAAGATGGAAAGGTAAAGAGAATCGAAGATTCAATTACTTGCTTACTGGAAGAGGGTGGATTTTTAAAAACAACAAAAAAAGGAAACTGTACATTTTACATTGGGATGGTAGTTCTCACTCAGGATACTGAAGTTCTGTAATGGTGGGTTTGGTTCCTATGTAACCATCTCTGGAGCCAGAATTCCCCTGACTGACAGAAGACATTACTTACATGCATAGTAATATCGGCGTTTGGAGATGCAAATTGTTTCCAATGGTTTTTGATGGGATGACCTGTCAACACCAGTAAAAGTCTGTCATTATCATATAAATGCTCCAGATTGTTTGCTTTTCTTTGGTGTGTTCATTTACCTCCTCTCCCCCTCTCTACCTGCCGGGAATGCTGCCTGGCAGCAGGTAGGGCCAGAAGAGGACTCACTTCAAAACCACAAAGTTGAAGTCACGGGTCTCAGGTTCCTTCTCCTGTCATTTGGAAATGCTGGGTAGGTGGAAGGGGATTCTGTGAGCTGTGGAACACCCTCGGGTGCACACCCTGCCCGATGCATTCAGGAGGAAGGTGGGTGAGCAGTGCTGCCTGCCTGGGTCTGAACTCACAGCAAAACACCTATTTGCTTTGCCATGCACTGCTGCTAACCCCCCCTCTCCACAGCCAGCCTTACCTGATGCTTAAAAGGGAGTTATAACGCTCATTTATCTCTTCTGGGGGAAAAAACTCTGTTAATGCAGCCTTTGAATAAGTGCTACCCTGCTCTTTAAATGCTAAAGTTCACTAAAACTCCAGTGATTTATGTGCAGCTTTTGACTGCCAGCACCTGGCAGATGAAGAAACCTACTCAAGCTTCAGTCATAAACAGATAGCATACAATTTAATTTTAATGTGCTCGTTAGTCGTAGCACATTTCAGACATAATTGTGAACGCAACACAAAATTATAGCAAAAAGACAATTTTAATGCTGCTGTAGAAAAAAAGGTTATATGAAGAGTCATATAATGGTGCTTCATTGTCAACAACAAAACAGGGCACAGAGTGCATTACAGTGTCTGTGCTGTTTACATGCCAATATTTTATACATAGATTCTCATATGGTGTCAGCTGTCAGTTACTTCTGCAAATTAACTGCCAAAAATGGAGACGAACAGAATCACTTAGTGTGCTGGTAACCACGGGTTACCTTTCATATGCCTAAAGATAAAGCTGCAGTATGGAATCTTGGGAGAATAATTAGGCAGAACAAAACAGAAAGTTACCAATTGAAATAAAAAGGCATTCTACAATAGGAAATAACAACCAAGAGCGCTTATAAATAAGTAAAAGAGGTTATATCACAGAATGCCTCATAACTTTTTAAGCAAAGTATTACAGTACAAACATTTTAAAGGCTTTATCAATGTTTAGGAAATACAGTACAAGTTTTTCAAATAGATTTAACCCTTTGAGCACTGAGTTTATTTTGAATTTTCTCTTTTTATTTTATTTTTTTTTTTTTTTTTACTAATAAATACCTTTAAAAGTCATGTTGTGCAAAACAGTTAGAATGCAGGCCAGGAATGCAGTCCGTGGCTTCTGTTTCTTCAGACAATTTTAAAAAGAAAAAAAAAAAAAAACAAAACAAAAAACCAAACAAATGATAGCAACACTAATAAATATGTATAATTTAAACATGAACCTCTCTTAATATAGATGTACTGTATAGCAAAACAAAGCAAAACATACTTTGCTTTAAGAATAATGTTTCTGAATACTTTATAAATGCTATCTGTGGTATCTTTTATCACATAATTTACAATGCTTGATTGTTAAAGGAAAAATCGTTAGATCTTAAAAAAAAATGAAATATACACTATATATAGGTACAGTTTATACCTGGGGCTTATCAGGTACAAACCTCGCTGCTGCTAAAAATGCTGAAAAAAAAGAAAATGGCATTAACCACAATCACATTTTCCATAAGAGATTTTGAAATCTATACAATATATACATCTATGTTTCAATGTGAAAATTATATTTTTAAATTTCAAGGTGTGAGACACCTCTGCATAAATGGAGGTTCATATTAGTAATCAGAACTAAGCTAGTAAGGATCTAAAAAAAAAGCATATCCTTACATTTTTACCAAATTAATGCAAAAGTGCTTCAAAGTACTCAGAGGGCTAAAGATTATAGGGTGAGAAATACCAGCACACTTAGGTCACATGAAAAAGTGCACCAGAATTAGTTATAAATGCTTAATTAAACTGTCTGTTAATGCATGCAGCTTGATGCATCAGAGGGATGCACAGCAACTAAATCCAATTTACACAAAGTTCCAAACACTTACCACTGCATTTTAACCTTCATATTTTACCAGTAACAACAGCTGATTATGCACCTCTATTTAAACACTGTACAGTTATACAAAACAGTTCAGCCCAGAGCGACTCTGGAGTTAAAATAAGAACATGTGCCAAGAACTAAACAGTAGCTTTAAGGCGTCTTTGACAGTTTTCCTCAAAGCAAATTACAGTTATTTTAATCAAAAGCAAATGCTACTGCTTCTCTAACTCCGAAACGTACAGAAGATGATCCTCTGGTGACTTCCCATGTGTTTTACTAAGATGAAGTTTAACAGCATGCTTGCTTGCAAAAGTCCTGTTACAAAGTTTGCACTGATAAGAAGTTCCGATATCTTCCTCTGGAGAGGACGTCACCAGTTTTTCAGATGGTGACTTTGCTTGTGCTATCTGATTGTTAATCTGTTCACTGGACAGTTTGGACAAGTCTCTTAACCTGAAACCCAGATGCGATTCAAGATGACTGATATAAGTTGAAGGAGTTCTGATCTGTGAAGCACAGTCATTACAAAAGAACACTGGGTGCCCAGTGTCCAAATTTTTAAGGAACTTAGTTCCCCCCGTCCTTCGGAGCTGGTATTTCACATTGGCCAGCCAGTGGCTAATTGTGGTCATTGAGAGTCCCGTAAACCTGGAAATGTGCATTCTTTCTTGAGGGCTCAAGTCTGACATGATGTATTTCCCCTCTGAAGTCTGCCGTAAGCTGGCTGCAAACTGGGCCTGCAATATGAGCAAGTGCTGAGGGTTCCAGTTAGACTGACGTCCCTTCCTTTTCTGAGCTGGTGTACTCTCTTCTGGTTCCTCTATTGTGGTACCATCAATGTCAGATTTCTCAGATATGCTGGAAGGTGTGGAAGATTTTGATGTGTGACTTTCTGTCAGGTTCTTCAGCATATCAGATATATCTGACAAGGCATTCTCGCGTAGCGGCGAGTTTGACATGAATGACACGACTGCAGATGTCTTTGCTGTTGTCACTGTAGATGAAGAAGATGCAGAAGATGTCGATGTGGATGACAAAAGCGCTGAACCCAAAGAGCAGCTTTTGTCACTCTTGCCTTTCGTCAAATCTATGGGTTGGTCATTGTTGACATGATAAAAATAACGGTCTAAGTGGTCTGATTTTTTGGACTGTAGAGGTGGGGTGGCCACTGCAGCCTTTTCTGCCAAACTGTTGCTCATTTTAAAAAGCATGCTCATTGGGTCCAGAGCAGGCAAGGATGGCTTTGCTGCCTTGCCAAGGTGAATATTCATGACGGACTGCAGTGCACTTAAGGGATTTACAAATGGCTGTTCAGGAGGGTGGTCAGTGATGATGGCTGTGCTGCTACTTAAAGAACCTACAATGGATTTCACAGGCTCTTTCCCATTTTCCACAGGTTCTACAGTTGGGCTATCTTTGCAACCATCTCTCTGAGGAACTGGGCTGTTCTGCTGGCTTTTAAAGCCACCATCATTGGGGGGCTCCATCTTAAGGGGTTCGCTGACTTCACTGCTGCACGGCGAAGGCGTCGCACGCTTCAGTGGGGAGAGCTTTCCTTCGGGCTCTTTCATCTTCTCCTCCACTTTAGCCACCTTCTCAGTGACCTTCTTCACCAATTCTTCCATGGCATGAAAGTTTGTTTTTGGCACGGGTGAGGTCTGACTGCTGGGTGGAGACACTAAGGGCTGGTTTTTAGTTGGTGATACTAGTTCATTGTTTCCAAACATAGGTTTTAAGGGCGTAGTCTTCCCAGATGAGCCCAAGGACAGCTTCATCATATTAGGCAGCTGGTAGGCAGCATGAATGCTGGGGTAGCCACCCCAGCTCGGTGTGCCATTCTGGGCTTTGTTTATAGCTGATGTAACTGTGTTTTCTAAAGACTTCAATATATCTAATCCCCCCTTAGGGCTTTCTTCTAGGTCATTTTCAGTCAAGTAATGGTATTTTGAGGAGATATCATACTTCTCCTCATCTTCACTTGACTTCTCTTTGTCTTTCATTTTGTCATCAGCAATGACTCTTTCCTTATCTACTTCTTTTTTAATCTCAACATTTAATTTAGGGGAAACACTAGAAGGTGTGTTGGAAGGAGATGTAAAGGTGGTGGCAGCTAGTGGCACAGACTGGACCTTCTCATCTACTAAGGACGTTATAGTTGGTGTGGCTGGGGCTTCTATAATTGGTTTCCCTTTTTTCATGGCAGAGTTAGTGACTTTAATAAAATGTCCCGTCACCATCATGTGAGCTGTGAGCTCCTGCAGGGTGTCATGCGAACTTCCACACTCCATACACTTCAGAATCTGAGATTTCCTTGCCTCAAAGTGCCAGGCATAGCTGGCACCGTTCTGGTGACCGTAGCGGTTATTTGGCGTAATGTAGGGATTGGAATTCTTTTGAAGTGCATCGTTACTATCTGAGATTGTGGCTTTTGGTGTCCCAGCCGTGGAGTCTGGAGAACTTGGAAGTTCAAGCTCCAGTGATGCTTTCTTTCTAGTAGCTGGGATAATTTTTGCTGCTACAGGGGTAACAGGTTCCTTCAGAGGCACTTTTTGGTAGTGTTTTGTTTTGATCATATGAACACTCAAATCCTGAAGAGATTCAAATGAATGACCACAGTACATACACTTTAGCACTTTCTGGGCATCTTCTTTCCCCTCCATTTCAAGCAAAGAACGTTTGCGAGGTTTGGACCATCTTTTGGGGTTATTGTTATCTGTTTCATGGTTGTCATCTCGATAATGTCCTGTTTCATTCATGTGCACTGTTAATTCTACTAAAGTATCGTAGGCAGCACTGCAGTCTTTACAGCGGAATTTACTGGCTCCAGTGAATATAGAGCCATAGAGCTTACTGCTCTGTCTGTACAGCTGGACTGTGCTAAAAAGGCTTGGTTCAGGCAGAATTCTGCTCTGAGAAACTTGCTGCAGTGTTTTGGCCATCGCAGTCTGGTGCCAGTCAAAGCTGCCACTTCCACAACTGCTGCTGCTGCTGCTGCTACTGCTGCTGCTACCGTTGTTTTTTTCTGAAATTGGCTGGTGAAGGTTCAAATTGAGATTGGACCAGTAGGAATTGGAGAGGAAGTTATTATACACGGCCTTCATTTGTTCTAAACTATCAGACACCGTGGAGTCTTCCAGTGGTATGGAAACCTCCTTGCTCTCTTCCTCATTTTTAATGGAGCTGCTCTCAAAGTCTGCCATGCGGTCACTTGTCTCACTGATGTGGGACTCACTGTCCATTTCATGGCTAGAGAACTCAGCTGCTGGAGAGTTTTGGTAGCTTTGGCAGTTCTTACTGAAGTCTTTTTCTGGACATGCATACTTTGCTGAAGGCTCCCCATCAACTGCATTTTCATCGGGTTCCACATCTTCTTCCACCAGTGCTGCTGCTTTTAGCTCATCTGAAACATAGGCTATTATGAAGAGAAGAAAACATGAGTTAGTTTCTGCTCATCATACTTTTGCTTTAGCCAAAGAAGTGTACTTATTTGTAAAATTAAACAGTTAAAAATTAGTGTTTCTTCAGAGCAAGAAAAAAAATCTGCTCTTCAAACATAATTTGCCACCTTATTCTTCTCAAGGGGCAACAGCTTGAAATTAAAACTAAATTTGAAATTAATGAAGCACATTCTGGAGGTGGCATTCATTTCTAAAGTAATAAATTACTTGTATCAACCTCAGAGACAGCAGTTCCTGTCTGTCAATTAATATGTCTTATGCTTCTCCTACCCCTAATGCATTTCTTAACAGACAGATTCACAATTTAAATTAAGCAAGCATTTTTTGCTCATTACAGTTTTGAGACTCGATCTTTAATAAATATAGTGCACAACAAACATCAAGAATTTCTACAAAGTAAAAAAATTGCCAGTTAAAATAAATTTTAAAAATTAGATTTTTTTAAAGCTATCATCATTAGTCATGTCATATTTTAGAAGAGATGGTTAAATGCAAGTGATGTAACCCTTGGAAACAACTCATTCAAAGCAATTTGAGGATATTCTTTATGGGTGTAACAAATATCCCATTCCCATTTAAACATAACTTCCTCAACAAGAAATCCCATGCAGAATTATATCAGGAGGTAGTTCAATGAAATTGGTATGCTGCACTCATTCTTGCTGTATAAATATATACAAGACCTTCCAGTGGACCTTACAAATGTCAAAGTGTTTGCTCTTTAGACTACTTTGTCAATATTTACTCAGCATAAGCTACACGGACACCCAACAGGGATCCTGTCTTTTTTTCCCCTCAAGTAATGCAACTGGTGATGTAAATCTAAGATACTCTTCTTGAATAGGACAGTTGGCAACTGACAGTAAACAATTTTTTTTCCGTGGTGCTTCTGTGCTTCTGTTTTACATACACTAGGTCTACCTAAGTTTTGCTTTTTGGCAAGAAAATTGTGGAAACATTATAAGAAAGGTATCATTAACTAATCAAAATTATCTATTTCTATATAATGCATTAATTTGCAGGAAAGCAAAAATAGAATATGACTCTCTTCAGTGTAATTTAGAATCTCTCACAAAGATATTTATAAACTGAAAAAACTCACATTATCAGTATACTCTGTGGTTAAAGAAACCTGACATTTTACCTTCTCTGCAACACATCTGGAATATGTAGGGTATTTGTATCTTGAACAACCTATAGCTTGTTTCTTCAGGCAATAGTGCAGAGAAGATAGCAGTTTACACCCCAAAAAGCTCTACTTTAACCAACAGACTGAAAAATGTAGAACACTACAGTAGGTATCACACACATGGTATTAAACCTTGCAAACTTCTTTCAGGGAAAACATGTTTAAATGTTATCAGAAAACCACAAGAGACAAAACAACTGTTAAAGTGACAATGAAATCAGGCTTTTAGTTTCACATGGAGTATTTCTTCGTTCAGTTAGGTAATACGAAATATTCACTACTGTTCTTTCACATGGATGAATGGTAGCAAATCTTCCTCCAAGCATGCAAAGTTATAATCTGATCCTCAGAACACAAGTTAAACCTTTGAAAGCACAAACATACCACATAAGAGCAACACATAATAATGATTAAATACTTCAGATAATTTCAATGCAGAAAATTCAAGCATCAATTCCCGTTTTTTAAAATTTGGGAGCACAGAGTTTGAAAGAATTATGTTTAAAAAATTTATCATAAGATGCTTCAAAGGTGCTGGTAAAAAGATCAGACTTTGGAAACAAGTATGCCATTCCAATGAAATAGAACTGTGCTATTTTGCTCTTTTTTATGCTTTTTCAAAATATTTTGAAAAAAAGTATTATTATTTTATGTATATCAAAGACACAGCAGCAACTTGAAGTAAGGTTCAGCATCTGTCTGCAAATACTTGCAACAAAACCAATACATAGAATTGAAAAAGTGCATTTTCAGAACTTTAGCAAAGGAGACCAGAGCAGTTCAAATTACTCTCTAAAGCTGAAAAATTTTGCATCACTACTGATAATGTGCAGACTGTTAACTGCTTCTCTCTCAACCACACCAAATCCCACTGAATAAGGAAGGATGGAAGAAAGGAATCATGGCATGAAACCCCTGATTTGGAAGCAAATATACCCTTTTCCTATTCCACCTTGTGGGAACAGATTTTCTTTTACAACTCCAGTTTCTTTGCCTCTGTTTTGAAACTGCATAATAATTTCCTTTTCAAAAAGTAAAGAACACCCAAAGTTATCACCACACTATCTGTCTTAAAGAGACCTCATTGACACCTGCAGGTTGGGGTGCCACACCAAGGCACTCTGAGAGTACCTGACTTTAGTTTTATCTGTTTTTTTCTAGTTTTTTAGGGTTTTTTAGTTTTTTTCTGGCTGCTGAGCACCAGTCTGAGTGTGTGCCACCCATTCCCACCACCACATCACATTCCAAATCCAAGGGCTCCATCCCTGCACACCAACACAAACAGAGGGTACAGAACCAACTCCCTAATTAGTGTGTTATTCTTTACATTTTTATTTCTCTTCCTGCTGAAGTCTTATGAATTTTGTTTGAACTGAAAGACTTGTCACATTCACAGCTTTTTTAGAGAGTGACTTTTACATTAGGGAAAACCTCCAGCATGCGGCTCATTTAAATGTAAATCTATTTACCTTTCATGCTTTCTTTGCCCTTTTCACCAACTATCAAGCATATTTGCGTGTTAACCAGGAGCTGCCTCCTCTCTAGCTGTTCCCCTTCCTAAGCTCAAGTTGTGAAGCCAACTTGTGACATCAGTCTTTGATCCAGAAATGCAGGAAATGAGGCACAAACGACAGTGTGGAATTTAACCCAGCAATCTGCAACTTTGAAAAAAAAAATGACAGTTCCAAGGGCTCCTTCTGCTCCTTCCCCTGCACCAGGAGAGAAGGGATGAAACCTGGTCTAGAGGAAGGTGTCCCTGCCCACCACACCCTGCCCAGGGGCAAAATGGTCTGTGTGAGAACAGGGGAAGGTGACAGCTTCACTGCACCAGAAACAAGGACAAGGAGGCCCACAGCAAAGAAATTTCTTGTTTGGTGAAGTACCTACAGGAAAAGCAAAGAGACTGTGAAAGGAGAGAATAAAGTCAGGAGGAGATGGTAAAAAGGTTTTCTACTGTGATTCACTGCTTGGAGGACAGACTGTTTATAAGAAGCACTGTCACCAGCTCATCCTTACTTAGCCATTACCCTATTATGTAAAAAAAAAAAGAAATTAAAAAAAAAAGGCCAAAAAAGACTCGTAGTTTGATATTTTTCAAGTGTAGAATAAATGTTTGAACAGCAGGGCATCTGTAAAACTGTTCTTCAATGCCTCAACAGCAAAGTCTGAGGGGAAAAGAAACAACTTTAAAGGCAATTCTAGTGGCAGAAGTTAATAAGAGTGGAAATGGAAGAAATTAGGCAGTTCTGGGCTTTGTTTTTCCAGACAAAAAGGACCAAAAAAATCATAGTTCTCAAAAAAAGTGTTTAGTTTACATCTCACAGGGCACCATAACCCACAGGAAATTGCCTGCAAATTGAGCAGTGGTGTCACTGTGACACAGAATTTGACAAAAAGTGGAAAGCTGTTGCCTGGCGTGGCACTCAAGTTTCTAGAGAAAAGGATAGGAGAGGGATTCAGAAACATCCTGCAGGTACAGCCACAGAGAGGTTGAGAAGAGACAGTTCCCTCCTTAATATTTGTTATAATTATTAACTAAAGTGCTAGGTAACAATGAAATTAACACATTTGATATCAATATATAACGGTAAGCTGTGGTATAATGCAATTCATTTCCACACAAGAGGGAATTACCTTCATAACTGAGCTATGGATCATTTCTTTGCCAGTGGAAATAAATTGTGATCCATCACTGTCCAAAATTATCTACATATTGCATAGACAGTAATAAACTCATATACCTGGCTCTGCTCAGACACCAGGGATCCACTGCACGGGAGCAGAGAGGTCTCCAGAGAAGCCCCACGGAGCCACAGCAGCTGTGCCTGCTCCTGTCCTGGGCTCAGCAGCACCACAGCTGCCACCTCCACCCCGACCCTGCTGCAAAAACCCTGCATGGCTGTCATCCCCTCCAGGGCAGCATCCCCCACCGAGTGGCTGCACACACAGCTCCTCGAGATTGTTTGGAAATACAGGACCACAGCACTAAAGGTGGAGTCTACTGTTCTCCAAAACACAATTATATGCATGATTTTTTTTCTTATTTCCTGAAAAAAAAAACAGCTGAGACCATATATTTTGGCTTGGATGTATCCAAATATTTCATTTCAATACTTCTGAAATTTCTTGTTTTAATTATGTTTTTTCTTGCCAAAATTTTTTCTTTTGTTTTAATTAGCTCACTGGGGGTATATTTAAACTAGTATATATGTTGTTTGCTTGAAAAGGAACAAAACATTCCAATATTCTTCTCACATGAAAAACGCTCAGCTACAAAAGTCTATCAAAACCACTTAGTTCCTTTGAAATATTTTTGCTTTAACCAAATGGCTTTTTGTTAAAAAAAAATAGATCATCTTTGTTATGCATCATTCAAAATCATCAAGTAATACTAAGGGTCATCTTCCAAACCATTTAATTTTGAGTTCATTGGGAAAAGAAACTTCTCAATCCTTAAAGAACCTGACCTCATCTATATTTCACATGTGGAAAAAAAGTAACAGCAGAATAGGTTCAGGAGCAGAAATGCTCCTAATGCTTCATGATCAATATTACATTCCCAATAAAAAAGAAACAGGGGAAAAAGGATCATATTAGGTCTCTGGTCTGCCAGAGAAAGTCCTTCTGCAGCCTGGCCCTCACTCCCCATTCCATGGCACTGCACAAGAGGTGGCTCCTGGCACTGCCCCTGCTGCACAGCCTTTTCCTAAACACTTGTCCTATTCTGTTTTAAATCAGACACCAGCCACCTGAGAAACTAACAGA